CGCCCTGTGGGCTCCGAGACCCAAAATTAGTGATGTGAAGGATTTCGGGTCTCGAATCGTAATGTTTTGATTGACCTCAAGCTCCCCGCACGGGGGGGTGGAAGCGGATCCCCCGTACGGTCATGCGGTCTGGGACAAGGGGAGTCGGGAACGTCCCCGCGTACCCATCCTGGGGGGGGAGCGAAACCCCCGTGCGGGGAGCCAGAGCCTTCGGAAGACGATTGAGTCATCTTCATCACTCGCCGAATGATGAGGATGACTCGAAGTTCGTGCGAGAGGACCCCGCCACCTCTGGAAAAGTTTGCGACGGCGGCGGCCCTGGGAAATCGGATACGTCCCCGACGAGGGGACGCCACCCCCTGGCGAGTCGGAGATGTCCCCGAAGTTCCCTGGGGAGTCGGAGACGTGCCCGAGGATGCCCCCTTGGGAGTCGGAGACGTCCCCGAAGCCCCCTGGGGAGTCGGAGACGTCCCTGAGGATGCATAGCAGAGCGTAGCGTTGCATATTGGAACGCGTTACACCACAGCATTGAACAGCATTGGGTAGACTAGAATGAAAAACGTGCTGACATATAGAGAGGGGGCTCCCGCTTAAGACTTCCTCGCAATTCACTCACACACGAGGTCCCCGCTGGAGACTTCCTCCATACTCAAGCTTGCAGGGTGCAGGAGTCATCCTCCTGCACCTCCACTTCCTCCTCCCTCCTCCTTCCTCCCTCCTTCTCGTCGCCTTCTTCATCATCCTCCTCCCCCTTCTCCTCCTCCTCCCCCTTTTCCTCCTCCTCCTTGTTCCCTACTCCTGCTCCTCCTCCTCCTTCTCTGACTCCTCCTCGTAATCATCACGGACGCCGTCTGGTAAAGAAATGCTCGCCGGCTGTCTGGTAAAGCTGTCTGGTAAACGAATGTCTGCGGCTGTATGGTAGGGAATTGCGCGCCGGCTTTCTGGTAAGGAAACGCCTGCCTGCTCTCTACAATGTCCGCTGGCTGTCTGACGACTGCCTGATAAAGAAATTCAATGCGACTGTCTGGTAGGAACTTGCATGCCAGCTGTCTGGAAAGGAAACGCCTGCTGGCCATCTGACTGTCTGGTAGGGAGGCATGAAGGTGGGCTTGTTCCCCCCCCCCCCCCCCCCCCTTCTCCAAAGTTGACGCAGAACCTGAGCTGGGGCAGACGCTGGCGATCCACGCGCCCTCAACTTTGGATGGGAGGGGGCGGAAGTTGCGCCTCTCTACTTGGGCGGCAAGGGCAGGAGGAGGAGGGGGAGGAGGAGGAGGAGGAGGAGGAGGAGGAGGAGCAGGAGCAGGAGGAGGAGGAGGCGGAGGACCAGTGCAAACCCAAGACGTATCAAGGATATCGCAATACACCTTCCCTTCAAGGTTCCTTTTCAGAGGCCCCTACAAAGGGCCATCTTCAATGGGGAAATACCCCCCCGTTGGAAGACGACCGCCCTGGGATGCCAGCGCCACGAATCACAGTCACTGTTGCGATTTGGTGATCCCGCATCGTGTCAGAACACCATTCCTGGGACTGAGACGTAGAGGAATTCTGGACGCTTCGCGCATCACCGCCAGCCCGACCCGCCGCCTGCGCCTTCGCTTGCGGCCGCGACCAAAAAGCATCCCCGCCAGCCCAGTGCGCTTCTCAACTTTGGCGGGAAGGGGGGTCGTCATACGCGCCCCTCCAGTTTGAAGGGCCTGGCCGCCCAGCGCGGTGTCAAGTTAATTGCGACGTGGCTTGTTGTCATCGTCATGATCATCACCATCATTCCTCCGCATGGTCGTCATCCTGCTCATCCTCATAACCTCTTGCTTCGTACACTCGTTCTCCTTCAAATCCACTGGGTTCCAGATTACACCAGATCAACACTTTGACATCCAGCCTCCGACGTCCGACGTCCCAGTCCCGGGCCGAATGCTGAGAGCACCGCCCTCCCCGCGCCGCCCTCCTGGGGCTGGTCCCCGCCGGACCGACATCGCGCGCTCGCTCGCTCGTCTCTCCCATTCGTCCTCCTCCTCTTCATCCTTCTCCTCCTCCTCCTTCTCCTCCTCCTCCTCCTCCTCTTTCTCCTCCTCCTCCTCCTCCCCCTCCTCCTCCTCTCTCACTCCTCATTTTCCTCCTCCTCCTCCTTGTCCTCCTCCTGCCTCTCCTCGCGTTGAAAGTGGGAGAGCAAAAGAAATGCATCACACAAACGAGGCTCCTCCTACAAACAAACCAACCCTACGCAAAACTGCACGAACAGACCGGGGCAACACGCCAACGGAAGGTCAATTAGCCGGGATGCGCGAATGAGAAAAGAAGAGGAGACAGAAATGACAAGCGGGGTTCCCTCTAGAAACATGCAAACCCGTGGCAGATTTGCGTGCCAGAACGAGCATATCCAGGAACTGTCTCATGTCGGAGAAAGACAAGGCTTTTTTGACGGAAGTCCCAATGCAAGGAACGTGGGCGAAACAGGGTTCCTCCCAAGTCCGCTAGCCATTGGCGAAAATTCGCGCAAGGGGCGAGCATGCTCAGGGACCGCCCCATGTGGCAGAAACCGCAAGCCTTTGAGAGAATCCTCAATTCGCCGGCCCAACGGGCCAGGGCGTGCTAAGATCTCCGGTACCTGGTTAACAGTATTTCTAGTTCGCGCGCGCGGGGCGGCCCCTGGGGGTCCCCGGACGAAAAGTACCCCGGCAAGGTCCCGGCAAGTCCCCGGCAAATCCCCGGCAAGGTCCCGGCAAGGCCGGGCCAGAGATGCCGGAGTTCTGTTTCGGAGTCCAAGAGGGCTCCAGATCGGTCCAAGAGGGCCCCGAGAAGCTTTCTAGACGGTCCAAGAGAGGCCCGAGACGGCCAAAGATCGCCCGAAGACGCCCCACATGGCCCCAAGACAGCCCAAGAGGCCTCCAAGACGCTCCAAGGGCCTTCCAAGAGGCCTCCGAAGAGGGCCCCAAGTTGCCAAAATCGTTGATTTTCATTGTTTTTTCTATGTTTTTTTGCGTTCTGGCCTTTTCGCTTCCGGACGCTCCAAGAGGGCCCAAGAGGCCTTCAAGACTGCTCCAAGACGGCCCACGAGGCTCCCAAGACGGCCCCGGAGCGGCCCAAGAGCGCCCCCCAGACGGCCCAAGTGCTGCCCAAGGCGGACCAAGAGGCCCCAAGACGGGCCCAAGAGGGGCTCAAGAAGGGAACCGAGAACTGAAAAATCGAGCCCTCCGCCCCAGAAGGCGCCCAGGACCCCGAAAGAGGCCCCAAGAGACTCTCCAAGACACCCCCAAGACGCCCCAATAAGCTCCCGTGAGGCCCCAAGAGGACCAACAACGTCAGGCCCCAGGCCCCAAGAGGACCAACAAATACCGCCAAGAGCCCGCCGAAAGCCCCCCAAGAGACCGTCACGAGAGCTCAGGAGGCCCCCTGGAGGCCTCCCGAGTTCTCCAAGAGGCCTAAAAAGAGGCGCCAAGAGGCCCCAAACGGCCCCACCGAGGCTCCAAGAGGCCACGAACGCGCAAGCAAACGCCTGCGATGGCACAATACGGGCCGGCGGAATGAGCGAAGCGATTAAATATCAGGAGCGCGGGAACATACAGAAATCATGTAAGAAACATAGCTCATCCTGGACAAACCAACCCCACGCGAAATACAATGAACAAACAAATACCGAAAACGCAAACAGAAAAAAGAGTTCGTTCGCTGGGATGGGCGAATGAGGAAGGAGGAGAAGAGGGAAAGGGGAAGGAAGCCAAAGGTCCCGAACTGTTACAACACCTGACAAGAACAATCTAACCCTTAGCATCTTGCACGCAGGAGCGACCACATCCCGGAGCCGCCAACGTGGGAGAAAATCAAAGCCTTTGGGGGAAAACCCAATGCGAGGAACGAGCGAACAAAAAAAATTCAATAGAGACGCAAGGTTCCTCCAAGAAACAAAACCAACCGTATGCGAAAAAACACGGACACTCCAGAAAAACAGTAAAAGGAAAAAGGTTAGGCGGAATGGGCGAACGAGGAAATAAGAGAGGAGGGGAACGAGGTGCAAGCCAGGATTCCTCCTAGAAACTGGCGAGCCCTGAGGGCGAGCATACAGGGGGCCCATCCCAGGCGGGAAAGTCAGAATCCTGTGAGAGAAGGCCCAATGCCAAAAACGACGCGAGAAACAGAAAACCATTAGAAAACCAAAACTCCTCTTAGAAATGAAACGGCCCTGCGCGGGAGCGAAAGAAGAAGGATGAGCAGAGAGGGGAAGGAAAAGAAACAACGAATTCCTCCCAAACTGGTGTCCGGATGTCGGGCGTCCGGTGTCCGGTGTCCGATGTCTGGTGTCCGGTGTCCAATCCGGTGCAAAGTCAAAAATCCGGTGTCGGTGTCCGGTGTCCGGTGGCCGGTGACACCCGTGCACCGGTGTCCGCGGTGGCCTGTGTCTGGTGCCCGGTGTCGGGAGTCGGGTGCCCGGTGTCTGGTGTCCGGTGTCCGGTGTCCGGTGTCTGGTGTCCGGTGTCTGGTGTCCGCGGTGTCTGGTGTCTGGTGTCCGGTGTCCGTTGTCCTGTGTCCGGTGTCCGGTGTCCGGTGCCCGGTGTCGGGTGTTTTGTGTCGGGTGTCTGCAAAGCCCGGTGTCGGGTGTCCGGTGCCCGCGGTGTCCGGTGTCCGGTGTCCGGTGTCTGGTATCTGCAGGTGTCCTGCATGTGTCCGTTGTCCGGCGTCTGGCGCGCGAGAATCGCTGTAGTGCAATATTTGGGGCCTCTTGGGCCGTCTGGGGCCCGTCTGGCGGGCTCTCTTGGACAATTTTCGGGTCCTTTTGGTGCCTCTGGGGCCGTCTTGCGACGGTCTTTGGGGCGTCATTCTCCTCCTGCTCCTCCTGCAACTCCCATGAGGAAGGGAAGGAGGAGGAGGAGGAGGAGGAGGAGGAGGAGGAGGAGGAGCTAGGAGGAGGATGAGGAGGATGAGGAGGATGAGGAGGATCAGTAGGAGACGAGGCCGACGTCGCCGGCGTCGGCGACAACGATGGGCCCCCCCTCAGGATCGGAGGCCTCGAAGGCTCTGCGCGCCGCGGACATCGTCTCCCAGTCCGCGCGGACGGCGATGGGCGAAGCCCCCTCCGGGCGCTGGCAAGGCAAGACGGAAGAGCTCTCAACATGAGAATAGAAGAATCGGGTATCTACTGACCCGGGTCAATCCAAACCCGGATCAATCAAACATTGCAAAATCCTGCAGGATCCCACCCAAACCCTGGTCAGTGCACCCCTGGCTCTGCAAATCCTGCACGATCCGGTGCTCCGAATGATCCCCGTTTGCATTGACCTCCGTCCCTTGAGCCCCGAAACAGTGAAGCATCGACCCCTAGATCCGGGCGGTGCAGTATTATCGTGACGGCAATGTTTTGTGCACGTCTTCGGCATCTGGAGGCAGTTTCCTGGCCCAGGTGCAGACAACACGCGGCTGAGGATGACAAGCTGGCCCTGGGCGAGGGGGCGAGCTCGGGGCCTGCGACGCGACACATCACGAAAAGCAGTTACGACGTCGGAGGAAGGTTCGAGGCTCGAAGGTGTTGTACGATTTCGAACCCTCTTGACCCCCAAGAATCTACTCGTTACTGGTCGGAATTCCGCTGGGGCATCCTGGTCAAGCTGCTACCCTGGAGAGGACTGGGCCTTGAGGGGGAGAGCGTGTGAGGGAGGACAGGAGAGAGAGGAGGAGGAGGAGCGGAGCGGGGGAGCAGAAAGGAGGGTGAGGACGAGAGAGGAGAAGCAAGAGGAGGAGGATGAGCTGAACAACGGGGAAATCGGCGGGCGAAAAGGGACGCATGGGAGGAATAGAATAATACACCATGAGAGTTGTGTTAGGTTGAGGAGGAGAAAAAGGGAGGGCATGGGGCGGATCAGGCGGCCAAGGAGACGGCGGAGAAAGGGAAGGGACGGCAGAGGACTACGCGTATGAGAAGGATGAGGCGTACGAAAGAGGAGGCCGATGGGAGTGGCTGACGAAAAACTGGCCGCGGAGGATGCAGCTGAAGAGGAGGCGGAGGAGGAGGCGGCGGAGACGAAGAAAACCGAAGCGGCGGAGGAGGCCGAGGATGAAGAGGATCGGGTCGAAATCAATTTGGACACGTTGACGCTGCGAGGTGTGCAAATCACCAAGCGAAATACTTTGAGTGGATAACCGTTCTGCTGCTAAAGCAACATGTCATCAAGCGATGTCCCTGCCTTCAGCGAAGCCAAACAAATCACCGCACTGACAGACAAATAACACGCGTGCTGCATGACACTCATTGAAGCATCTCCAAGTATCGTTTATCCCTAGGCATTTCATGTTGAAAGAAGACGATGTAACATGTAGCGAAACGTTATTCGAGGCCAGACTGGGCCAAGGCGGTCCAACAAGTCCCGAAACCGTTCGCAGACGGATCCATAACGGCCCAATTGAGCTCCAGAATGGCCCCAGCGCGGCCCAACATGCCCCCGAGTCGCCGAGTGGGTCCCAAGGGAAAACGCAACTGATTGCCCAGACACGCGCTTGAACAAGTTTAGCGTTCTCGCAGATTTCCTGGCCTCGGGGTATCGAAGACAGCCCACGAAGCTCCGAACATTGCCTGAATGCGGTGAAGAAGACACCAATGCCAACAACAAGGGGCCACAAGCAGCCGAAATGGCCTAATTCCTGGGCGTGATGAGGTTCATGCAGAGCTTCGGAATAACGGCTGCCCCCATTTGTATCCGTCTGTTACGCCGCGCTCCTACACGTCCCGCCCAAAACAACTCGCCTGAGAATTGTTTCTGGCTAGGCCGATGGAGATACACGAGTCATACACCTGCCTTTCCCAACTCACAACGGGAAGAGCCGCAGGAGAGCGTCGAAGAGGGTAGCCATAGACAGTTGATAGATTTAGGTCGGGCATGTCCTCCTACAGGCGGATGTTGGACAAAACATAAAAGCTAGTCAACACACTCTCATCACCAATCGAACATAGGCGAAACAAACCCGCAGACGTGTGTTGTTTGTTTTTCTATGTTTGCGTATTCCTAGTGCAGAGGGACTTGCCCGACTTAATGATAGATTGAAGCGGCGAGGGGCTGGACCTCGAAAGAATGCTCCCGAAGCTCGTGACTGGGCCTGGCGGCCTGTCGCTGGCTCCTCAACTCTTCCGGGGATCGGCGGACTGGCGTGAGGCACGTGAGCGACGATCAACAACGGGTCTTACACGAGGTGGCACAGCAACCTTTACGCGGCAGCTTACGCGGGCCGCCAGCGCCGCACTCCAGATTGCAGACGAGGGCGCTCACGCGCAACCTTGTTCGGGCAGCTTGCGCGCCAACGTCGGCTCACACGATCCCGTTTTTTTCCAATGTTTGTTTTGCATCGCTCACTTGGATCAACTGGCTATAAGCCCAGCGGCACTGAGGGCGTGATAAGGAAGGCGCGTCGAGGAAGACTGACATGGTATGAGGAGCAGAAGGGGGGGCTGAGCAGACTGACGACAACGAGGAAGCCGAGCACGACGACAAGAACGACGAGGATGAGGTCAGAGGATGGACATGGGAAATAATAACTATGGAGGAACGACGATGTAGGAGGGGCAGGACGAGGAGATGAAGATGATGATGAAGAAAAAGACACTTGCGAGAAAACGCAATCCAGGGGGATGAGGTTATCAATGAAAACAAGCGAACTTCGAAACGACCGCGTGCTTCCATGATGTGCAACTGGGCGGCCCCTCAAATCAGGCGTGGTCAACGACGCCAATCGCCAGCAAGACGTTGCGACAGCTAAAGCAGTCCACGAGTTACCCGCAGTGGCCACGACGAACGAATCATCCAATCTTTGTCGATGGCGCTGGCAAGGTTGCCACAGCTCTCCGCCAACACCGGTCGCGGCCCAACCCTATACAACATTCGAAATCATCCCACTCTTCCTTCACATCCTCCCTCATTACCCTCATCCTTCGCCTCTTTTACACCTCTTCGTCCTCCTCCGCGTGGCAGCACTAATCGGGAACAACTCTCATCATCATCATGCTTTCTCTCCTCCTCCTCCTCCTCCTCGATGCTGCCGCGAATCCCAGATGCGTCTGGAGTGTGTGAAGCATGTCAGGACCATGTGATGAGCATCCCGAGCCCACGGATTGCCAGAACACACTGCCACTTGAGAAGCTCCTTCCGATCCTCCCCCCCAAACAAAAACAACTGCTCTCGACGGCGGCCTCCTTGGGCCTCTGGCAATCTTTGTAGACGCGGACCTCGCCCTGCCCCACGTCCAGCAGGTGCAGCCCCGGAAAATACTCCTCGGACACGTAGTCTGCGACCTGGCTGGCCAGGGGCGGCCCGCCGGAGGGGGGCGGCTATGAAGGGGGCGGCCCGCGGATCCGGGCGTCGTGAACCAACACGACCATGACGGGGGCCTGTCGCCTTGGGCGGGGGGGGGGGCGCGACAGATCGACCAGGCTCGAGGTAAGACAGTCACGGGAATGCTGGGTCGAGGACTGCGGTCGCGGCTCTTACGGCGCTGTGTTTTTGCGCAAACTGTACAAGGAGGCCAGCGAGGGGGTGGGGAGGGGGGGGGGCGCACCCTAGATCGTTGACTGGAAGGGAAGGGGAGGAAGGAAGGGAGGAGGGGGAGGAGGAAATGGAGGAGATGGAGGGGGAGGAGGATGGATGGATGGATGGATGGATGGATGGATGGATGGATGGATGGATGGATGGATGGATGGATCAGCATCAAAGAGGCCCTGGCAACCGTCAGCCAGCTGACGACCGCCAGTGCCCCAGATGTCCTAGGGTTCGCCGACGCCGCCCGCGGCGGCGCTCCGCGCAGGAGAAGAGGCGACGAGGAGCCCCCAGACCGAAGCCCAGACAAGCTTCCGCCCCGTCCGCGTCCCTCCACGGAGGACCGAGGCCGAGCGGAGTCCACCCCCGCGGGGACAAAAACGGCCCCCCCCCCCCGGCAGCCGCCAGCGGCCGCCCCACACCCCAACGGGGAAGCGGGTTCGCACCCAAGTGCGAGCCCGATCCCAGGCGGCGGCCCCCCCCAACCTACGCCGAGGGGCGCCGCAGGAGGAGGAGGAGGAGGATGAGGAGGAGGAGGGGGAGGAGGGGGAGGGGGAGAAGGAGGTGGAGGAGCGCGAGTTGGGTTTCTACTCCTCTCCCATTCGAGCTTCGCGCCGCGCGGAGCGCGGTCATCTTCGAGCTCTGTGCGAAGGCGCCCCTGGAGAGGGAGAGCACTCCGGCCCAGACGGGGAAGCGCGATGACCTTTGGCGCGGCTGCGGAGGGAAGGGAGGGACTGGTGGGCGGAGCAGGGGGGGGGCAGGGGCAGCGGGGGTGGCGGTAAGTGCCGGAGCACCTCCGAGTCTTCTTTCCCCCTCCCATCTCCTCCTCCTCCGCCGCCGCACGCATCCCAGCTTCATCCTCCCCCTCCTCCTTTCCCCTCCTCCTCGCCTCCCCCTCTGCTCATCCATCCTCATCCCCCCTCTCCTCTTGAAGAGGGGAGAAAGGAGGAGGAGGGGTTCAGAGGAAGAGGGAAGATGGCCTCATATATCTGATCCTCCCCTCTCCCCCTCCCTCTCCTCGTCCTCCCTCCCTCCTTCCCTCTCCTCTCATCTCCTTCATCCCCCCCTCCCTCCCCCTCCTTGCTCCCATGATTCCCTTCTCCCTCCCACCTTCCAATGAAAAATCCGAATCCCCCCACTGTTCCTCTTCCTCCTGCTCCTCCTCATCCGCCCCACCCTTCTTCCCCCGTCCCCGTCCCATCCTCGCCCTGGCCCTCCCTCCCTCCTCTCCTCACTCCTCCCCCTCCCTCCCTCCCTCCCTCCCTTCCTCCCTTCCTCCCTTCCTCCCGCCGCCCGCCCCAGCTCGCCTCCAAGGAGTGGGCCAGCACCAGGAGGTGGCACAGGTCCTGCCGCGGGCGCGGGGGGGAGCGGGGGCGGGGCGCCATCGAGAGGGCGAGAGGGTGGGTCGTGGCAAAGCGCTAGTGGCGCGCACACGGAAGGAGGGGGGACGGGAAACAGAATGCGGAGGAGGGAGGGAAGGAGACTGAGATGGGGGGACTTGAATGGGGAGGAAAGGAGGGATGGGGAGGGAGGCGGGCGGGCGGAGGCGGGCGGGCGGAGGGGGGATGGGGAGGGAGGGGAGGGGGTGAACATTGACGAGGAAGCAGATGGAGATAGAGGACAACGAGAGATGAGAGGACAGGGGTGGGAAGGACAGGGAAGAGAGGGACAACCGGGCAGGATGAACGAATAACTAAGGAGGGAGGAAGGAGGGAAGAAGAGCGGCAGGACGGAGAAGACAACCCCACCATCCTTGTGGCACGCTCGCCCGAGCACGGAGAGTGACTCCCGCCCCCACCCCAGCTCCTCCCCCCCGTCCTCCTTTCTCCCCCCGCCCTTCCTCCCTCCCCACCCCCCCGCCCTTCCTGCTCCTCGTCATCCCTCCTCTCTTCCTCCCCTGCATCCCACTGTCCACATCATCCTCCTCTTTCCATCTCCTCCTCCTCCTCTTCCTCCTCCTCCTCCTCCCCCTCTTCAGCCAGTGTCCTCCGAATATGCATATCCATGTCCTCTGGACACCGAAGCGCGATCCCATGGACAGGCGAATCTATGGATACGTTCCTCGCGGGGGCATCTTCGCATCGCCCCCCTGCACCCATGGGGTGGCAGCCCAGGAGGTCCAGACCGCGAAGCCGTACACGCCACACTGCAGCAATGGGGTCGCGACCCAGTAGGTCCAGACCGCGGAGCCGTGGATATGGATAATGTTTCCCGCCCACCATTGCGGAGCAACACGCGGCATAAACATGAACGTTCGGAGATCCGCGCGAAGCTTCGAAAAGCTGTGTTACCAATTGATCAGAAGGCATTTGTAGAAACATAACGTAGGAAGGTGTTGAAAGTATGTTGGAGTTCCGCCCGCCCCTCAAAGAGGAAGAAATACACCAACAAAAACTCATAATCATTGAAGTAGGAAGGCGCCTAGAATAGATTGGATTTTAGAGAACCAAGAATATCTACTTTCTGGGCCCGATGGGCCGATGGGTAATGCTAACGGCAGGTGCGTGCGGCGTCGGCGCCGCGCGCAAAAGTTTTTTGACACCGCGTCGATCGTTCAACCTTGAACCGATGGCGGCCCCGATCGTTCAAGGCTAAATTACGTCGGGCCCTGAGGCGGTGCAGCGCCCCTCAGTGCCTCCGCGCCATTCTATCCTGCGGAGTTCAGACTCGAAAGCCTTCGCCGGTGTCGCCGGCGCGCCATCGCCGCATGAACCTACCGTACACTTTATTCTAAGGGATCTTCTGACCAAGGTCACTCCAGACCCAGGTCAGTCAGGCCTTGCAAAATCCTGCAAGATCCTGCACCCAAACCTGGGTCGATGCGAAAGATCCTGCAAGATCCTGCAGGATCCTGCACCCTGCAGGATCCTGAAGGATACGGCGCTCTGGCTGACCCCCGTCTCAAGGCTCCCGATATTCTTCCCGCCCGCGTCGTCCGCCAGCGGCGCCAGAAGGCAGAGCCGGAGCCCCAGCGGCATCGCTCGCCGGGCGCGGCTGCCCTGGCAACGGCGCGCCGGCCGCTGCCTCGCCTGCCGGGGGCGCTCTCCGCGCGCCCCGCCCGGGCGCTGCCCACTGGGCCCCCGCGGCGGCGGAAGGACGGTGCACCCGCCCCATAGCCCAAGGCGGGGATCTTGTGATGCAGACGGCTCCTCCTCCTCCTCCTCCTCCTCCTCCTTCTTCTCTTTCCCACTCAGACTCTCGCCTCCTCGCCGCTGGCGTGCACCTCAGTCGCGCCACCGAGATCCTGGTGTCGCATGTCGTCATTATTTTTGTCGTTTTCTTTCTTTTTCTTTCTTTGCAACAGGCGGTTTGGCCGCGTTTCGGGCCCCGGGGCCCTCACGGACGACACGATGTGCGGGAGAAATAGGACACTACGCTACGATGCTCCCGATCGGCCCGAAGGCCATGCCAATCTACAACGTGGGGGGGAACACATGAAACGTGCCTCCGACAACGGGGCAATTATGCGATCGTTGTGCATGGACTGCTGCTCGGGCAGGCAGCTCGGGCAGGGCAAGGGGTGCGGGAGGCGAAAAGGGAAGGAAGCCCTCATCCACGAGACGACGACTTACGACGAACTACGACGCCACGAACCCCGCGAACTGCGATGGCCACCTCCGCGCACTGGAATTGGTGGCGCTGGTCCCTCGGACGCACGTCCTCTGGATCGGGCGACGAGATCAACTCATATCCACTGCCCCAAGCCTGGCCAATCCTGGGGCCACGAGCGGTGTATACTTACTCACTCCCAGCTTGGCCAATGAAGCATATGAGGCAAGTTCGTGCCGTGTCGACCCCGGCGTTGGTTCCTGACACCGCGGGGATCGTTCAACCTTGAACGATCCGGCTATTTCCGCAATGTCCAAATCCTTCCACGTCGAACGATTCTGGGTCGCCCGCGGCGTTCGACGCTGAACGCCGCTGGCGGGGTCGCCGCCGCTCGACACGACGCGAACCTACCGTATAATTGCGTTGCCCCTTATCGTGCTTAGAACCACATCCCAAAATAATGCGAAACAGTGTCAAACGAATATCGCCTCCCATTGCCCGACGCGTAGAAGCCCTCACGCCTCGGTGATTTCCTGGTGTTCGATATTATCTCTGGTGATCAAAACTAAAGGAACTTGGAACATCATAACCGTATAAATATCGCTGCCCTGCTGGAGCTTGCTGGCTCCATCCGCGGGCCCTGGGGCTATGCCAATCCGATCCGGGAGGCGGAGCTCTTTCGGGCGGCGGCACCGAGGCCAGAGGTCGGCCTCTTTTGAAGGGGAGGACTCAACACGAATGAAGCCCGTCCTTGATTGCTGCTCGACGTTTTCGGGTTTAGGGTGAAGGTTTCAGAGGAGCGCAGAGCAATGGGAGAACAAACGACAGGATTCTGAGGGATGGGGAGGAAGAGGAGAAGGAGGAGGAAGAGGAATAACAGTAATAGTAGTAGTAGTCGTAGTCGTAGGAGGAGGAAGAGAAGTAGGAGGAGGTGAGACATGTATACGAACGGAAATACGAATCGCGGATTCTTTTCCGCTGCGCAATCATATGGCCCAAACCAGCTACGGAACGAAACGCCAATGCGAGTCGAAAAGGATGTAACCATAGGCCCGCGTACAATCATTCAGCCTCAGGAGCACAGAAATCACAGCCCCCAACAAAGTCTTTGGCCACAGCGTGCGCATATTCGCTATCATGCGAAATAGTATCAATCAAGCTGATGTGAAATTCGCCAGCGTGCAAAATAACAGAAAATATCCACAACAAGAAAAGGCTAATATGGAGATTCGCCTGTGTGCGAAATAGAAATATGAACCATAACTGATATGAAGTCGCAACAGCTGATGACACCGAAAGCTTCGTGTGAGCAAGAGCACATCCTATCGACTACCTGTTGAGCTGCTCTCGCTTCTGCGGTCGCGGCACAAATCCACGTGTTTAACCTTCTCGGCAACTCGCGTATGCAATTCACCCTGTTCACCAAATATACGGTATCGCCTTGCACGCACCAATCTGATCAAAACTGCAGTGTTGGGCGATATCTTTGTAACAGCAGATCCCGACATACAGTGGTGCTGAACCCATCTGGCCCTGCAACCAAGAGCACGCATAGCCTGCCTGCTAACATCCAGCTCGAGCGCAACCCTACGATCATTGCCTCCTGTCGTCTCCTTCAAAAGATTGTCAGACAACGATTTGGCGTCAACAACACTCACAATACTCGCATCCACAGAAAACGCGCTGTCACTCCTGAGCACTGCAACTGCTGGATCCTCACGCTCTGGAATCGAAGCCCCTTCGCCTCGAAACTGCATCAAAATCACTCCACATCGTCTCCCGCCGCAGAGACCATGCCCATCCTGCCTCGGCCAACGCATCGCTGACGCTAAAACTCCCCGCCGCCATGGTGCTGCCCGAAATGCGTTTGATCTTGTGACTCACCCAGCTGATAATGCTGAACGGTGCCTCCTCATATATCATTGATCGCCTTCGTAGTAGTTCCCACTGGGAATCAACCTGGCGAAGCTCCCGTCTCCCTGTCCGCGACGAAACTGCCGTCGCTGACACTGGCAACTCTGGCCGCGCCCGGCGGGACTGGCACGATACGCAGACCAAGATCTGCAGCCGCCTGGAGACGTCGAACTGCGGAGTTGGTGTCGGAAATATCCTGCATCGCGGCACTACAGAAGGCACTGTAACAGTGAAGCAGTTGTAGCCTCGTCTGGCCCCGCCTGTCTGGCAACCCAACCAACACCACCAATGACTGCGCGAAGCTGACCTTTCTCTCCAACTGATGGCGCAGCCTTTGGGTCGGCAAGTCGCCCTCGCTTCAGCTCTATCGGGTCGAGCTTCTCGTTGATATAGCGCCCCATGTCGATGCGAAAACTGACATCCTTCTTTTGAGGCAAACGCCTGCCGGCGCACGAACGTGGTCCATCTCGGCATGGATTGCGTCAGTAACCAAACTTGATCATGCCCTTGAGCTGATTGATATTGTCAATGTGCTTCTCGTTGTATCCAGACAGTGTGTCGTCAACCTCAAAAACCACAATGCCCTGCGCGATGTAATCGTTGCTGTCGTTGTGCCGATTTCGTTGAAGAGACAGAACAAACACGGATCGTCGGTCGACCATCGTACTGCGCCAGGCGGCCATGCTGGCCCCCACGGCCCACAATCCAAACGTCGGTACTTCCACACCTAGTCCATCGCGATGAAGACGCTCTTCTCCGCGTCATTGTAGCTCGTGTTCTATGAATCGTTCGTCGTGGTCCGGCTGCTACCAGTAGACGCTCGGCACGGTGAACCAAGACGGCGCTGGCCATGGTGCTCTCGTACCCGCAGCGGTACGTCCTGAACTTGACGATGCTAATCGTTGCCTGTCCACCTCCATGTCGTCGAACCTCGGCCTTCTCCTCGGCGGTGCACGGGTAGCTTCATCTTCTGCCTTGACGACGGTTCCACACGAAAATCTCCATCGCTCGACGCCGGTACCCGAGGTTCGCTTTCTGGTTGTGCGCTGATCTGTCGCGAAGCTCCTCCTTCTTCTTCGGCGTCATCTGGTGTTGGAACCTGTTGTGGTGGATTCGCGTCGACGACCTCGCCCTCCTGCGGCGGATCGCCTTCGCCGCAGATGTCCATGAAGCTCCGCTGCCGGTGTGCTGCGTTGAGCTTCTCCTCGAGTCCGAAGAGCAACTCGTCGACGATCTCGGCTCCCGAACTCTCCTCGTTAGTCGCGGCTCTGACCTGGATTCTCGCGCACTTGAAGAGAACCCCACGCATGTTTGCAAAAACGGTAGCCATTCTGAGTAATGGATATGACCGTGGCGGGCCCACTCCGACCCACCATGTAGTCGATGCTTCCGTCAGGTTGTCGGACTGAGACTCGCCTCCATATGAAAACCACCTCGCCATCCTGTCATGCCTCCTGCTCCTTCCGCATCCTGCTCTTGAGTGCCTCTTGCGGCGTCTGCTGATCGTTGAGGCTGACGGCTGACTGCATTGCGGCTTGCCTCATAGCCTGAGCTCGCTGGCACTCAACTGACGGCGTGGCGCTGGACATCTCCGGGCTAATGAGGCCGCCGCTGAAAGGGCGCCCTGGCACTTGCTAATCTTCGCGCAACACTCGCTGAGCTGGGCTGTAACCGCTCCTGTTCGTGAACGTATTCTTTGCCTGCGTAACAAAATCGGCAAGCATATCCACCTTTGACGTGTTGTTGCACGGCTCGGTGGACTCGGATTTCTGAAATATGCTCTCCCACCCCTCCGTGGCGCTCGGTCTTGCCAGTTTCCCGTGGAGACCTCGCGTTGATGACGTGCGCGAGAGTGGCGCCCTTGAGCTCCGCACCCTGGTCCACGATAAGAATATGGCGGCCCATAGTGACGATGCCATGTCAGCTGAACTAACTGCCTCCCAGGTAGCCTGAGCTGTAGTAGGCCCAACAACGCGCTCAACAATCTGGTACTTGATGCCCCAACATATTGCATGTACAAAAGTGAACTCCAAACCAAGTACCGCCTTGACAGCAAACGCATCGCAACCGACCACATAATTAACCCGGAACTGCCTCAAGACGTTTATTGTATTCGCAAGACGGGCAAACAATGACGCCGTGCTCATCGCAAAATTGAACTGCGCACCCGTATATGAGGAAGAACACATATGAAATCACGAAGTTCTGGATGCCACATGTTTTTGTGAGCTCGTAGAAGTAACCGTTGTTGGAGAGGCGATGGGACCTCCATGGTGTCGGTGCCCAGCGTATCTTCAACTCCGACCGGTTCTAGGCTAGGTTTCCGAAATCGGGTCCAAGGCTGTCGCCTTCCGCCGCGCCCTCCATCTCCTCGTCGACCGTCTCGAGCGCGGGGTGCACTCCGAGAATCACCTGGTCCTCGGCGATAGATTGCATGGAACCGTCGACCACACGCGGCGCGCAGTCCTCGGTGAGCTTAGCGACGGTGTTCGAGTGCTGGAAGAAACGCGGCTGGTTATTGGCTTCGTTGGTGTTTAAATCGGCGCGCTTGACGATGTTGGCCTTCTGGAGGTGCCCAACTAGGCCCAGGAGAATCGCGCAGCAGAACTGCGGCGCGCATTCCTGCGCGAGCCTGGTGTACTTGCTGCCAGCAAGCTTGTCGTGGTCGGAACTGCCAGTCGGCCGAGGACGCCTGTCGGCTTGCGGTCGAGCTCGCCCCCGTCGGCGTGCAAGTCGGGCGCGCGCATGCCGGCGTTGATCCAGCCGGCCCCGTCGGTGTCGGCCAGGTCCTGGATGCACGGCGCGCCCCGCGATCGGGCGCAGGCTGGCTGCCCAAACTGAAAAAGTCCTCCTCCTTCGCGCTGTTCCCGAGCGAGCGCCGCGCAGAACTCTAGATGTTGAAGACCATCGCGTTCTTCACTGCTAACGACGCCCTGGTCGCGCTTGTCGTTTGACAAGTCCCCGATGCGGCTCCGCACCATGCGCGGCGGGCTGAGGGCGATGAGCAGCGGCTGCTCCTTCTCGATGATCTCTCGCGCCATCCTGCGGCCTATGTCCAGCGCAAAGTCGAATCCTGCGGCCAGGTCCATCGCGCTTCCAGGTTGAAGCCCGCGTTGGACACAGCGTTGTGTGACGCGAGGTCGGCTGTAGACCTCCGCGACGTCAGTGCCCTTCCTGGGAATCTCGCCGAAGTCCTTTGGAAATGACTGCCTGCTCGTCGCCATCAAACAAAACACTCGTGATAACCCCACTTCGCACCTTGAAGATATCGACGCGGTCAGTTGCGTCGTTATAGTCGACCCGATCCGCGATGCTGTTCATGCGCCCACTGCCGATCTGGTCGCCAAAGAGGTCGCCATTCGCGGAGCTGCTCACGTTGACTGGCGCCACGATGATCACGGCGCCCGTCTCGTCGCTGTCTTCTAAGCGTTCGAAGTAGAGCGACGCTCCAGCCGCATGTCCTCGTCGCTCGACGAAATGGCAATCACTTTCACCTTCTCGCCCCCTCTGGCGCGATCCCCTCTGTCTCCTCGCAAACCCGAACCGTGCGCAGGTACGCGTACTTCTTCTCGTAGCGGTCGTGCACCCTCTCCATGGGCGCCCCGTGGGCTGGGCATGCTGGAACCTGCGCCTTCACTGGAAACTCCATCTTCAACGCTGTCGAACCGGGCTCAACCTTGACCGTCTTGCCGCATTGAAAGACTCGTTCCCGTGGGGCCCCGCGCCTCATACACACCTCGTAGTAGCCCTTGTCGTTGCCCTCTGGGGGCGAGAGCTCCTCGGGGTGGTTGCAATCCTCAGGCGCGCAGCTCGGTTTGATGCCCTGGCGCTTGGTGTCGGGAAGGCGCTTGCTCTTCGTGGAGGGCGCGGGGAATCCCGTGTCGGTAGATGACCCAGCCCCCTTCCGATGCGCAGCGAAAGGTCTAACCTGCTCCTGGATGCCACCGATGCGCGAGAGAGACGAGCACACGGACTGGGAGAAAGCAGCTTCTATGACCATAATGGACCTTCGCAAGGTCCGATGCCATGCTGCCATTGCTCGCTTGGCTCGGCATCGGCCACCCCCCCGCGATCCAACGCCGGGCCCACGCGCTGACCGAGGGCCTGGCCCACGAGGCTCGTCATCCAGCGCCGTAGTGGATATGAATGTCTCCACCAATATCGGAGGAGTAGGCTGCGCAAATACAGATGTGGAGTCGCTGTCGGCCTCTGACAACAAACTCGAAGTTGAACACACATGGCTCTGGGAGATCGCAACCTCGGGTTCGGGGTGGCCTGCTTTGGAGTCTTCCTGGGTGCCTTCTGAGATGCTTTCGAGTCCGTTCTCTGAATGCCTGTTGTAGCGCCCCTTGCCCCTGCTTGCTCTCGTTGCGGTCGCTTGCTCCACCGATGCCGATGTTGTGCTCTGTGATGCTGTAGCTGCTGCCTTACATGCTGTTGATGCGATTGGGGTTGGCGTAGTCTCGCTCTGCGATGCTGTAGACGCGCTCTAGGATGCTGTAGACGGCGACGCTGCCGCTGCTGAAGTCGGCGACGGCAGCAATATTGTTGCGGCGAAGGTGATGACGACATGTCCACAACAGCCAATGACGCTCTCGCGTCTTTTGCGGTCTCTGGTTCACGCCATCCACCCGGCGCAAGCTCTTTGATACTAATGGCTACGTGGCCATTCTGTCCGATAGGTCGGTGCTTTGTGCCAGCGCCGAACCTGTGGAAAAATGCCCGGTCGCCAGATCCGCGCAGCTTGAGACCCATCCCCATCGCCTTGGCGAGACCGACTGGGAGCAGCGCAGGCACCTCCTCGTCAAGCACACCGAATGATACAAGCCCACTCACGCCGGCTGCGCCCACGAGAACCTCCGCGGGGCCAACGATTGGGCCAACGACCTTAGCGTCGCCGCCGATGCCGCGAGGAGGAGGCCCGTCATCCGGTACCCGCCGCGGCTGTAGGTCGAACTCCTTCAGCTTGCTAGCGAGCCCCTTCAGCTCGCTCCACGCCAACGATGCCTTCTGAGCGCCCGCGCCCACAAGGGCCCCCCACGCATTGATGGCGAGCCCGGTGGACATACCGATCGCTCCGACGAGGAACTTCGCGGCACCTCCGGTCGCAGATGCAGCTGGCCTCGGCTCACTGATATCGAACGTCTGGTTGCTACCGCCCGCCGCGTGCATAGTAAATGCTCCAAGGACAGGGCGCCGTTGCTGTCGGTTCTGTGGGCACTCACGCGCCCAATGACCAGCCTGCTTGCACTTCGCGCGCTTCGCCGCGAGCTCGAACTGGTCGATCGAGATGCGCCTACGCTGATTCTGTCTGCCATTGCCATTGCCCTTGTCCTGTACATGCTTGCCCTTACTCTTGCCCTTTGGCTTCAAGAAACCCCTGGCCTTGCGCGCCTCGTTCAGCTGATCCCGGACTTGCTCGCCCTCGACTTGGTAGCTCATCGCGGGCCGCATGTCCAATAGCACCCACGGTAGACCCTCTTCTTCAATCGCACCGTCGAGCCACTCAGCACGAATGTAGCATGCGCCTTCAACCAACCGCCTGCGACCCTGGGAAATGTAGCGTGCCCTCGCCGTCGTCGCATGCCTCATCCTTGTATCCGATCACCTCTAGTGCGAACGCACCTAGCTCGTCTGACTTGTCCGTCGTGGCCATGTCGGTCGGCGGCGGCGGGGGTGCTGTGCTCTTGTCGTCGAAAGCCCTGAAGAGCGAAAACGATGCCAATCCTGTCGTCGGTCGCGGTAGTCCAGCTCGTCGGTCAGGTCGGTCCAGCCGGATGAGCGCCTTCGACATCTGCTCGGAGCTGTAGCCACCGTCAGTCCAGCCGATCACCTTGTCGTAGGACCTCTCATCGAGCCTCGCGAAACGCAACATACTGTAACCTTTGAGCGTGTCCAGCAGCATAACTTTCAGCCTCTCGAGTGGGATGAACTCGAGCCTACGTCTGTTCACACATGTCGTGATTTTCTCCTTCTTAGGGTCGCGTGCGCACGTATAGAAAGTTTTCTCGAGCGCCTCGGGAATCTCTTCTTCCTTCAGGTACTGGAACGCATTGCCCAGGGCCTGCAGCATCAGCTCGACCGCGCTCATGCCCGTCAAGGCTTCATCAACGATATCCTCGCGCGCGAGTCGAGCCCGACCTCGCAAATTCCTGATAACCACACCGCCGATCTTCTTCTCTGCTAATGTGGTGCTGGCCTGCCATATCCGCTGGTCTCGTCGGTAGCGTCAATGCAAATATTCGTCCGTCAGCTCCGTGAATAGCGGCGGTGGGTCCCGATCCATTCGTGTTGGAACTCGTGTCGGCTCTCCATATTCTATCCCCAGGTTATCCTTGAGCCCCTGGTGGCATGGCGGCAGCAATCTGACATCTGAAACTGTAGTTTGTGCTCAGCTGTCTGAAATCGAGACTGTAGCGGGTGCGCAGCTACCGTGGGGACAACCACGGCTCCGCTGCCAACTGAGACATGTACAAGAACGGAATTCAGAATCGCGGACCCCCCTCCACTGCGCAAAATATGACCCCGCCAATGGGAGTCGAAACGACTGTTGCCAACATGGGCCTGCATACAATCATTCGGCTTCAGGAGCACAGAAATCACAGAGGACGAGGAGGAGGAGGACGAGAAGTAGGAGGATACTCGGCTTAGACTCGCAAAGGGGGTCGGGATTCGGGAGCCCAGGATAGGGCGGAGCGAACTGGGCGGCCCGAACCAACACCCCACATTGGGGAGGGTCACGAACCCACAGACGCGTGAGGAGGAATAGGAGGACGACGAAGGTAGATTTGGAGGCATGTCGTTTGCGGCGAAAGATGGGGAGGATGGCGGAGGCACGGAAGATACGGAGGAGGACGATGAGAAGGAAGGCGGAGGAGAAAGAAGATGAACGAAAATGGGCGTCACCTTCTGAATGTGACAATTATGTGCATTTAGATCGGGTCCGCTACTAGGCTCAAACAGCGCGCAACGCATATTCGCAAATAGTACTCGGCTTATGCCTACGTAGCGTGAATGAGCCTTGTTCCGGCCCACCCAAGATCGTCCCACTTGGTTGCGCCCGTTGGGGATCATGGAGCCGACGTTGGCGAAACTCCCGCGCTCTATGTGATTCACCAGGATGATATTGACTGTGCGCCTGCTCTTCGTCTTCGACTCGAGCTGACGACGACGCCGACGGCGTCGGCGATAACGACCGCCTCCAGTTTCCAGGTGGCCTCCTGAGGCCCCCGAGGGACATGACGAGCCAAACACACCAAACACCTCAGTCCTCGATGTTCAAAGCGACGATGACGACAGCGGCGGCGATGACGACGCCGCTGGGGTGCGGGGCGCGCGCGGCGCCAGCGCCACCCTTCCTCTTGGCGGCCAGCATCGCCTTCTCGGACGGCGTGAGTGACTGGCGGGTCGCCCCATGTCTTGCCGCCGCCCCCACGGCACCCCGCGTCGTCACCGCTGCCGCCGTCTCGCCCCCAGTGTCAGCAGGCTGTTCAGAGTTATGCCTCCGTCTGGCAGGATGGGGTTGTTCGATTGATAGATGAGAGCTCCCGACCCGCCTCGCACACAATGCATACCACGGGCGCCATACCCGACGTGTGCTGGTGTTCCCGCGTGTCTTCGACGAACAACGACCGCATATCGCCACCGCCGGGGACAAGGTGATCGGGTGCTCCATGGAGATCTCGCCTCGCATTCTCGGTTGGGGATCGCTCGAAAAACAATCATGTTCGATGCAACGTGTTTAGAGGACGCGGAGGGGAACGAAGAGAGGTGCGGTTCTAGGACATGTGCAAGTTGGGAAACCAGTTGGAGGTCTTGGAAACACGCACGGCCCCCATGATGCCCAGGGAAGGTCCCATCCTGCTCATCCTGGATCCTCGTCCCTCCTCATGGCTCCTCAGGGCGACTTCCACACCTTCCTCACGTCATCCCTCATCCTCCCTCAAGCTCCCTCCTCCACCCCTTCCTCCCCCTTCCTCGGTCCCCGGCCCCTCCCTCTTCCCTCCACCCTCCTCCGTCCTCCCTTTTACCTGCCGCCATATCCCCTCCCTATCCTTTCTCCTGCCTCCACGCCCCACCCTCCCTCCGTCCTCGCTTCTCCCTCACGCCGCCCTCCCTCCGTTCCTCCCTCCCTTCTCCCTCCTAAGCCCCAACCCTCCCGGCAAGCCCCCCCGCCCCTACAGCGGCGGCGGCGGCAAGTGGCGGGGAGGCCGAGCCGCCCCGCCTGGGCGCCGAGGCCCAGCTGGTTGTCCCGGGGCTTGTCGTTGAACACGGGCTTTGTCTTATGCCTCTCCTGCCGCCGCCGCCGCCACCGCCGATGCCGCCTCCGCCGCCGCCGAGCGCTGCCAACGTCGCGGGCGGCCCACGAGGAAGGGCACCCAAAGCAGCAGGCCCCTTCTCGGGAAACCTGACACCGCTACTCCCCGGACCTCTGCCGGGGTCCGTCCTGACCAGGATCTCGAGGCGAATCCAGCCGTGGCGCCGCAGGCCTCCCAGGAGGCCCAACAATGCGAAAACGAGGCAAGGGCAGCGGTATCGGTACCCAATCTCTTGGGCCCCTTCGGCCTCCCAAACCCTGAGCCCCTTCGGCGCCGAGGCCGCTCTGGACGCCGGGCCCGGCCCAGCGACCGGGCCCGCTCGGTGGCCGGGCCCCGCCGCCCAGACTCCCCGCCCCCAGGGCGAGCCAACCGTTCGGGGCGGCCGACACTCCCCGGCGCCCGATGTGTGGAGCTCCTCGGCGTGGAGTCTGAAGCGGGGCGGGGGGTCTCAGCCGAAGGTGGTGGCATCGTCCTCCGCGACGCCACGGAAGCATCATGTCGCACCCCGCAGTTGTGGATTAGAGCGAGGGGGGCGGGCGCAGGGTGGGTCGCGTCAGGGTCGCGGGGTGGTTCGCGGGGTGGGTCGCGGGTGGGTCGCGGGCAGGTCGCGGGTAGGTTGCGGGCGGGGACGCGCGTGGGACGACGACGACAACAACGCAACGCAACGCAACACAACAACAATCCGAACCGCGGAACCCCACTTCAGCCACGCACGCGGGGACAGATAGTGACCGTTCGGCCCCCTTACACTTTGATATGCGCAAACGCCCGCCGACGAGATTTTCCAGTGCCTTCAGGGGAAGGTAGCGTTGTATCAAATCGCTGGCTCGTAGGGGCGATGTATTCACCGCCACCCTCCCCGTGAGACCTAAGAACAACCCCCAGGAGGGTGTCTGTGTAGTCCTTTGGCGGATCCTCCTCCCACTCGACAGCCCGAGCATGCCACAGCAATAGCCTCAGCACGCCATAGTCATCCCGTCGATGGGCGATGGCCACAAGAGTAGCTGGGGCGCCGCCGCCAGGCGGCGGGAGTGCAGGAGGAGACGGGGGCTCGGCGGCCGAGGGCACGGACGCGAGGCAAAGCAGAGGACCCTGAGCAGCCCCGGGCCCTGCGAAGCCTCAGCAGACCTAGAACCCTCCTTCTCCTCCTCCTCCTCCTCCTCCTCCTCCTCCTCTGCGTCGTGCTGGGACCCGACAGGAGGGCGACGACGATGACGAGGAGGATGAGGGGGGAGGAGCAGGAGCAGCAGAGGGAGCAGGTGGCGGAAAAGGGGGAGTATGCAGAGGAGGTCACCTCCTGGTGACTCAAATCAGAGTCGTGGTATTGTTACGCGGCTGCACTTCCACTCCGTTTACAGCCTCGAGCCGCTGCTGGATGCGTCTCTGGGATGCATTGTCATCACCGCGCTCTTTGCCCTCCAGCCATTCTTCAGCGGCTGCTGCTGCACGTGGCCTGTCTGTGAACTGCCGTCCTGACACTCCGACCGCATGGCCTGCAGCCTGGCCAGCGCAAGATGAGAAGCTGAGCCGGAGAGGGCCCTGCGGTATCTGGCCGCAGGTGCAGACGACCCTCCTGTTAGACCGCGCAGCGAACCCGAGGCGGACAGGGCGCCCTCAGGGAGAGACGCAGCGCGGGAGGACCGTTGCCGCCCACACGACCCGCCGCCCGCTCCCGAGCCCGTGGGATGAGTGGCAGCTCCGGGAGGGTCTCGAGGTGTGTGCGCCACCGTGCCCCCCCCCCCCCGGGCACGTTGAGGCGTTGGAGAGTTCCAGGTGCTGTCTGGCAGGGCTTCTCGGAATCTTCAAGGCGCAGTGCCGCGCGCATCGCCCCTCCCCCATCCCTCCTGAAGCTCCCTGGCCGCACTTGCGCCTCCCTGAATGCCTTGAAGGCTCCACTCTCCACGGCTTCCAAGACGGCCCTGGAAGGCCACCAAGGGTCGCCAAGATGGCCCAGCATTGCCTCAAGAAGCACCCGTCTGCTCCTAAATCGCGCCCAAATGGATACCACGAGGCCTTCAAGAGGCTTCACGGCACTTTCAACTTGTTTCGCTTTCCGCGCTCTTCGGCCAAGTATCGCTCCACTTGCTGTCCCCGAGTGGCCCAAAGGCCAGCCGAGAGCCCCAA